TTAGACACGACGAATACCAAATGAACTAATAATTCATATACAACATTATGAAAATATTGACAGAATAAAATAATGGTATTGCCAGCATCAAATCTAAAAAAACATTAAAATGTATTTTAATTAAAATACTGTTTTTGCATATACTTTTTTAATAATGTTAACTAATGTACACTTTAAGGTCATAATAAGGTTTTTTTTTTGCATAAGACTGTAAAAAATTAGCTTGAAGGTAACTCTTCATTAACTAACTTAAAGTTAGTTGCAGAAAAGTCAAGTAATAGTTTTCTTTTGTATTCCCTACTGTATTAATTAATTAAATTTTAGTTAAATATATTTAAAATTTAACTACTAGTTATCTAAATTACATTTCGCTTTAATACAAGTTATGATATTAGTTCGTTAAAATTAATAGACATCAGTTTTCTGCAGGGGAACTAATAATAACACCGGTATCCATAAAATTATGAATGATTTGTTCATTATTTCCATGAGTCCCATTGATCCAAATCTAAAATAAATTTTTAAATTTTATGTGTAATGTTAACTGTTAATGTATTATATTTACAGTATTAATCAGCAGAATTTAGAATTTAGGGACCGAGTTTTGAAATATTTAACCTTTTATAATTAATTTTTCCAATTTACTGACTCTAATTTCACAACGTATACAAGAAAATGACTAAAATGTAAAACAAAATTCCAAATAATAAAGAAACATGAGAAAACATGTCGAAACAAAATGCTCTCCAGATAATTTTGGGGTACTCCCGCATTATATGATAGTTAGCTTGTAGCTAGTCTTTAAAAGTCGGTTGTTTACGTTAATAAATACCAAATTTTGGAACATTTCTGCATTACATTGTTGTTCGTTTATAGTCAGTCTACTAAAGTTAACAAATAAAATCGTAATAATAGAGAAACAAGAGAAAACATGTTGAAATAAAATTCACTCCAGAAATTTTCGGGACAGCTCTGCATTACATTGTAGTTAGCTTATAATCAGTCTGTAAAAGTAAACTAGAAGTGAATTTTTCTCGTAGTCGACTACAAAATTGCTGGCAGGGCACATAACGCATAAAATTTTTTCATACATTTTTTATCACTATTCGGTAAAAAAATTATGTTACCGTCGCAAAATCTAAATAAAAATGAAATTTATGCTTCTTCTTCCTCAATGATTGCTGGAATAAATTACTAACACAAACAAGTTTTGATCAAATGTTGACATGTGGCCATGCAGTTTTTGTAGAAGCTCAAAAATAAACACAGTTGTTCAAAAGGTACTAAATAATATATTCATTTTTAGTACATTATTTTTTTTTTGTGTTGTTAGACCTGGTTCACACTAGGAAATTTTTTTTGGGAAACTTTTGATTTTTGTGTGTGAGAGAAAGAGAAAGAAATATCAACCATCTCTTTCTCTCACACACAAAATCAAAAGTTTCTCAACAAAAGTTTGCCAGTGTGAACCAGGTCTTAGTGGGATTTCATATACAAGTGAATGAAAATATTAGTTAATTAATTGTTTTCAAATGATAAACATATTATAAACACGTCTTTTTGTTATTTTTTCTGCGCTAATGGAAAAAGAAAAAAGTATGTGAAACACTTGTTTTCATTTTCAATACGAAAATTTAGAACTTTACTTTTTCAGTTTTAATTAAAATGAAACATTAAGTTTAAGTGATTAGAAAAACTATTAAGTGTTAATATCCTCGCAATTTCGCGAAGATAATTTTTATGTTTTAGCTGGATGTCCACACTACGCGTTATCGCATCAAAGCATTTCGAGCTTTTCATACCTTCTTTGCATCCTACGCATCAAGATACATGCTACGCTTCTTAAGCGTCTATTTTTTGCATTATTAATAAAGAACTGCGCGTTTTTTTTGAGTTTTTTATTTATATTTTCACAATTTAACTCTTTTTAGTTTATTAAAATTGATAATACACATTCAAAATAGAATATAAATTATCAATATCAGCTGACATGTTCGTCCGACGCTTATGACGCTTGCAAAAGGAGAAAGTAAATCTACTTTAAGCATTCTACGCGTCAAGGCATCCTACGCTTTTGTTCTTGTAACTTGTAGCCACTGTTGCCCATTGACGATTTTAACTCTAAATTTGACGATTTTTAAAACAGGATGTTTGCACAAATTTTCGTAATTTTTATCATTATTTTATATAATATTTAAAAGCAAATCGAAGCATATTCAGAATATTCTATAAATATGTTAATAAAATTAAGAATTATAATAACTTACAACAAATGTATAGGTATATTGGCCTAATACTTGTCGTAAAAGCGAAACCAATTATACTTTTGTGACCAGCACTTACGATACCTACTCAAGCAGTATATTGTGGAACTATGAAAATTGATTGTGGAAGGAGGCTTTTATTGAGTAAAGGGAATCATAATTTCGTTGAAGAAGAAAAAACTATCTAAACTCCTTTGGACAATTTCTGTAGGAACAATAGGTGAAAAGTTACACTTATTAAAAAAGGATCCTGTATGACCAAAATGTCCAACTTTGATCCCCTCTAACTACGGTAGTTCTGGACCGATAGAGCTGAAAAACTGTATTTGGCCTACTATCCAGTAGTACTAACCGTGGTGCAAATTTCATCCAAATCGATTTTTTGAGTTGGGTCACTTGACACGAAATTGCCCATATATTAAAAAAAATATTTAAAGAAAAAATCGTCCAAAAAGATGGAATACTAAAAACATCCCATACATATTCATATCAAATAGTTTACAAAAATGCAATATCAGTTCTTTCGAAATGCATTTCAAAATTAAACAGATAATAACAACTAAAACTATCAAAATTGATAAAAATGTCTCGACAGTTAAAATAAATAATAAAAATAAAGGTAGAAACACCATCAAATATGTATATTATGTATGGAAAATAGTTTTGACGATTTAACGACGATTAGGAAAAATTAATTGACGTTTTTCTTCTCGAAATTTCACGATTTGGCGCCCTAATCATCTGGCAACTATGCTTGTAGCACACAGCAACATTGATTCAACTTTTTTGACAGGCGTGTAGCATGCGAAGAAGCGTAGAACGCGTGGTGTGGACCTCCAGCCAGCGTAGCCGTGTTTTTTTCATGTGGTAGGATGGTAGTTTAAATCGATTTTTGGTAGGTTTGACAAAATACATACTTTAAAAGAATTTTAATAATTTAATTATACATTTATTTACTGTATTAAAATATTAAAATTTTTGTATATCAAAATTTTATTAAGTATTTTTTTTTTTATTCATTAAATGGAGTTCGGAATAACGCCTAATAACAGGACTTAAGGCTTGAAAACTACAGATTTTTCTAGAGTCATTAATTTTTTAAAACAATTTATGTTAATTTTATCACAAATTTCTTCATAATTTTTTGAAAAGGACCTAATAAGGGAAATAGATCAAAATTTTGTCTAAAATTTAAAACAAAAAAATAGTTAATACCAATTGTATCTAAGTAGTCACCTGAAATGAAAAGAGGCATAATAACCAAAATATTGAAAATCAACTTTTTGACTGAAAATGGTCCACTGCATCAAAATGCACATTGTCGCCAATTTTTAGAACTCTATTGTCAAAAACAGGTCCATATTAATATTATATGATTTTGGGTGCTTCAAACTGAGGGTAAATTTGTTTACAACATTTTTTAACATTAAAATTATTTTTCAGGAGCTTTCCGATATGTACTGGATCGATTTTAACCATTATATATAGTAAATTTAATCGAATAATTTCAATCCATGAAATTAGGTACAAGATATAAAACTGTTTTGTTGCTATGTCGTTTGGGTTTTAGAAAATTCATATCTTCAAGGACGTTTCCCTACATAAATTAAAAATAATCTCAAGAAAAAATGTATCATAAAACTTTGAAAAGTGTTGTTAAAGCTGTGATACATGATTGTCAGATCTTACAAAGATTGCTGAAATATGTTCAGCAAATGCTAACAATTGTAAATTGAGACGGACAATAGACTGCCGATATTGTTAGATCTAATAACCGTGTACACATAGGCTACAAAATACATTAATAAATAAGTCATGTTTTTCTCAAAAAAAAGTTTTATATGATTTCGAAATTTTATAGGTTTTAAACAATTTTGGTAGTTTTTTGACAAAAATTTGGTAGGATTAAAACTTGGTCAGTGGCAACGCTGCCTCCAGCTTTTGTGAGTGCGTTTAGTTCTCTCAATTTTGTTTAATTCTCATTTACATGAGACTTTTTCCCCCTGGGCTTTTCTCAATTTTCTTTTAAATGTCCTTCGTAAAATATTGAATGTTTACATTGAGACTTTTAAGGCATGCCTGCTTTTTGAAATTATGAGTGTAAGAGTTGCCATTTTGAAAATTCTTAATTTATTGTTTTAAATATTTTATAAATGAATAAATCTATTTTTTTAATATTTGTTATATTAAATATTGTTTTAATTATTTAAGTAAATATTTAAATAAAAAAATGTATCAAAAAAATACTAAAATACTTAGGAAGTAGCAAGACACGCACGAATCTTAATTTGAGGGGTTTTTTCGACATTGCTTTTCCTTCATGTTCGTGATTTTGCTAGTTGCTTTATTTCTGTCACAAAAATTTTGTGACAAAATGTTCCTAAATAAATGTTGAAAAAAGTAATTACGAAATTTTAGAGTTTTTTCTAGCATTTAAATTTGTAGTGAAAAACTAAAATTTTTAATAATAATTTAGTATAACTAGAAATATTTACTAACTCATTTGTAATTTATTAAATTCTTGAAATTTTAGGGTCTTATTTATAAATTTTTATCAAAGGTTTATAAATCAAATTTTCATACAAAATGTGTTCTATAAACCTTTGATATACATATGTTTATGAATATGGCCTTTAATGTTTATTTTATGTCTTTTTATCCGGCAAAGTCTCGATATTATGCCGCCGCAATATTCATAATGTCAGCCGTCGCTGTCAATTTTGCTTGACGCAGGTATCTGGTCCAATTATGTGTTTATAAACTAAAACACGACGTAAACGCCTAAAACAATGCAAAGATTTTTGATAAAAGTTTATAACTAAAATTTGTGTTAATATATTTCAGTAGGAAGCAATATTTGTGAATTTAAAAGTAGAATAATCTTAAGTGAAATGTTCAAAAATAAAAACGAAAGCAATATTGTTTATAAATGCACAGTGCGACTTCTTGAAGATGCTGACATTCTTGAATGCGAATTTCAGGTATTTCTACCATTAATTTTATTTATAATTTTTAAAATGTAAAAAAGCATATCCAAACAATTCGAATTGTTATAAAATAAAGTAATTTAAACAATTGTAGTAAATAAACATAGTGGTTCAAATAGTAAGTATTCATGTGTACTTATCAAGAAAATCAATATACATAGTTATGTACATGTAATAAACAACATTAAAAGGACATCATTTCAAATAAATTTGTTAAAATAGGTCATTCCTGTGCTGTAAATTTAAGTGACTAATACCCGTCTAACATTTATTATACCCTCCACCACCATCAGTGGTGATAGAGGGTATATATAACTTTGTCATTCCGTGTGTAACACCAAGAAATATTCATCTGAGACCCAACAAAGTATATATATTCTGGGTCCTTATGAAATTCTGAGTCGATTTAGCTATGTCCGTCTGTCCGTCCGTCCGTCCGTCCGTCTGTCTGTCTGTCTGTGTAAAACACGCTCACGTTAAAACGAAGCAATATAATTTAACCAAATTCACCCAAAATATTCATTATTATCCGGTACAGTTTGGTATTGAAAATGAGCAAAATCGGTTCACATCGGGAAAAGTTATGAATCAAAATTTAAAACAACCTCGAAAAAAATAAGCATTTTTTACACATTCTAATGTAATTTTCTCCAAAACTATGCAAGATAATTCCATGAAAATCACCATACATTCGTTTCTGCACAAGATCTTGATCCGTGCAGAAAATTGCCAGAATCGGTCCACAATTTCATATACCTCCCATACAAAAGTACATGTTCCCGGAAAATGGGTTTTTCGTTAATAACTTCCATCACAATGTCGATATCTTCACAAAATTTTACAAATTAAAATCTTATGTCAATAGAATTCTTTCGGAGAAAAATTTTCTGGATCGGTCCATAATTGGACATAGCTCCCATACAAGGTCTCCTCCCGAAAATCACTTAAACGCGCATAACTCATTACTAAATTAAGATATCCATATAAAATTTGGTATAAATATTGCCCATATGCATAGAAATATTACTGTGAAAATGTTTTCCGATCGGTTCAAAATTGGTCATAGCTCCCATACAAGGTCCCCTCCCGAAAATCACTTAAACGCGCATAACTCATTACTAAATTAAGATATCCATACAAAATTTGGTATAAGTATTGTCCATATGCATAGAAATATTACTGTGAAAGCTTTTTCGGATCGGTCCATAATTGGTCATAGCTCCCATACAAGGTCCCCTCCCGAAAATCACATAAACGCGCATAACTCATTACTAAATTAAGATATCCATATAAAATTTGGTATAAGTATTGCCCATATGCACAGAAATATTACTGTGAAAGTTTTTTCCGATCGGTCCATAATTGGTCATAGCTCCCATACAAGGTCCCCTCCCGAAAATCACTTAAACGCGCATAACTCATTACTAAATTAAGATATCCATATAAAATTTGGTATAAGTATTGCCCATATGCATAGAAATATTACTGTGAAAGTTTTTTCCGATCGGTCCATAATTGGTCATATCTCCCATACAAGGTCCCATCCCGAAAATCACTTAAACGCGCATAAGTCATTACTTAATTAAGATATCCATATAAAATTTGGTATAAAAGTTGCCCACATGCATAGAAATATTACTGTGAAAATTTTTTTGGATCGGTTCAAAATTGGTCATAGCTCCCATACAAGGTCCCCTCCCGAAAATCACATAAACGCGCATAACTCATTACTAAATTAAGATATCCATATAAAATTTGGTATAAGTATTGCCCATATGCACAGAAATATTACTGTGAAAGTTTTTTCCGATCGGTCCATAATTGGTCATAGCTCCCATACAGGGTCCCCTCCCGAAAATCACTTAAACGCACATAATTCATTACCAAATATTGATATCATACATTTAGCAAAATTATTGCTCTTATATACATAAATTACACTATAAAATTGTTTTACGATCGGTCCATATTTGGTCATTGCTCTCATACTAGGTCCCCTCCAGAAAATCACTTAAATGCACAATATTCATTACCAAATAAAGCTATTGATACAAAATTTGCCACAAATATTAGTTTTGTATACAAAAATTCTATTTCAAGATTTCTCACGATCGGCTCATAACATGGGTGCGGTCGGTCCCATACAAGGTTCCCTTCCGAAAATCACTTAAACACACATTACTTATTACTAAATTACGATATAGATATAAAATTTTACTGAAATATAGCTTTTATGTACAGAAATTTAGCTTAAAGAATTTTTTACGATCGGACTATAATTGGTCATATCTAGGTCCTGCCCCTGAAAGCACTTTAACCGTATTTAACTAGTTGCATTATCAATTTGTGTAGATTATATATATGTATTTTGAAAATCCTTTAATTTCACACAAATATCGCTAAGCGCTATAAAAATATAAAGAAAATTGCGTTTGTAATGTTCAATAAATCATGGAATTGTAATAGATTTAAGCTGTTTAAATCCTGGGATTTTTCTATTTAAGACATGAGAAAACTTATTTCTACAAATATTTGATCAATTAGAAAAGTATTAATATAAAAGTAGCTGGTGGAGGGTATTTAAGATTCGGCTCAGCCGAATTTAGCACTCTAACTTGTTTTTTAATTCGAAAAGTCAACTAGTTAAGTTTACTTTATGATTATATAGGTATAGTATGATTTCGTGCCCGGGGGTTCACTCAGTTATTTCATTATAAAAGTTGACTTAGGGCGGGTTTCTTACAACTCTGTTAAACGTGGCTTAACTTTACCTTAGAAGAAATTTAGGTGGACTTTAACCGATTACTGTGTTTCTCAGTTATGGATTTAAGAGCGGTTAATTTTGTTTGTATTGCCAACTTTTCAGTCAAGCACATAAACAATAAACAGCTGTTTTTTGCAAATATGTATTACTTTTGTAAAATGAAAAATTGTGAAAAATATTTACATAAACATTTAAAACAATAATAATATTGATAATTAATATTTACTTAAAAATTCACTTTTTCTTCTTCTGAATTGATTATTTTATTGTTTTAGTTGATTGTGTTTTCTCACTTATAACTTAGGTTTAATTGGCCAATAACACTCAGTTAAACTAATATAATAAGGGCCAATCTTTAGTTGAAAGATTAACGATTAAATTAAAATTAATCCTCGAAAGATGTTTTTGAGTACTCAATTAGTTAATTTTGTTTGCAAGCTTAAGCGCCCAATGGAGGTGGTTTAATCTTAAGCACGAAATGCAAAAGTGTAAACAGCTGATGCAAAAAATTAATAAAATTTTTATAAATATAAACATTAAAATGTTCTATTTATTGATTAGTATAAATTATGGACACTTCAAAATACATTTTTTTGTTTTTAATTTAAGTTTTCATTAATTTTCATATTAAATTTACAATTGTCTTCTTCTTCTTTTTATAAAATATGCATTGTTTTGATAACAAACAGTGAAGTTTTCTCTTGTTTTGTATGGCAACACTGTGAAGTTTAATCTTGTACTCAAAAACATCAAAGGGGATTAACATAAGATTAAATTTATTTTTAGATTAACTAATCTGATTATTAATTGGCATTTGATTACTATCTTAAAAACCCGCTCTAAGTAACGTTACTGATTACTAAAAAACACAAACAATGTTTAAACAAAGAATGTAGATTATCTATATCAGAAAAAGCCCCATAAGTAACGTAACTGGTTACTTTAGTTGTGTTTTGTTGCTATCAATGATTGCTAACGCTTAAAGTTAGCATCAAAACGAATATTACCTGACTTGGCATCACTCCATTTGGTAATTTTCTTTGATTTAAATTTTATTTTAAAATATTTTTTATTGTTTGAAATAAACATATTAATATTTGTATTTTTATTTTTGAATTGGTAGCACTTTTATCGACGTTAAAATTAACTTGTATAATTTTACACGTTTATAAACTTTAAATTTATATGAAATTGCCTTTGAACGTTAGCAACAAAACACAACTTTTGTTAAACCTAGTGTAATCTATATTTTGTATTTTCGTTATAAATTTTTAGTTTTATTATTTGAATTACATATCGTCAGCTAAAACGCAAACGGCCCTATCTAACATTTTTAAATTTTACAGGAGGTGCAAAAAACTATTTAAATTGAAAAGTTTGTTTCTATCAGCGCGATTTGTTTGTAGTAATTAAACAAATTGTTTAATAGTGAAACCTATAATTTGTTATGATAGTTGACAATGGCGTATATAAAAATGGATAAATTGGACTTTTTACCTTCAATATTTAAATGTTTTTGTAGATAGGGCCTTTTGTTTTTTGTCAATAATATCGATAATTTTGGTTGGAGGAGACCAATTTTTGGTGTGGACATTTGTTTTGATGCAATACATTGGAATCAACAATAAAATCGATTTTGAATTTTTGGTTAGTTAGGGCCGTTTGCGTTTCAGGTGACGATATATTCTTGTATCTCATAAAAAATTTAAGTAAACAACAAATTTTGTTAAAAATACAGAGTAAAGTGTCATAGTTCATAAATTTGAATGTGTTGGATCCTGTAACATTTAGAAAAATGGACCGATTTTGATGAATTAAATTTTGTTCATTGTATATGGCTTAAAAAATAAAAATATGCTTATTATAATAATTTAATTCTTATATAAACAAAAATATTTAAGTTTGAATTTTCAAATTTCAATTTTTGACCATGACTTACCAATCTTTTTTTGAAAATAAATTCCCTACTAGTTAGTTAGTTAGTTTGAATGGAAGATGTATATACATCAAATCCGAAGAAATACACCTAAGCCTCTATTGGGCCTTTTGTGCGTTCCTTAACCAGTGCCTCAGGTGGGAATCGAACCCACCACCTCCGGTCTACCAGACTGGAACACTAACCACCAACCTACCGGAGGCCACCCTACTAACGAAAACAATTTATTTAATCCTAATCGATTTTATATACCTCAATTATTAATATAGAAAAAAAATTGTATAATTATCTTTC